TATCTATTGGAGGAAATTTTCTTTGTTGGTTACCAGGGGTGGGAGGGGAGGGGAGGGAATGCTGTTAGATAGATAGAGATAAATATATATATATATATAAAAAAAAGAGTTACAGACAACAAAGATAAATGCTATTACATATACAATCTTGCAATATCAGTAATGACAAACAATAATCTACGAGTGGATATGCAGGCAGACAGTCAAGCTGAATAGGTATGGGTAAACAATTGGGACTACACCTGTGACCATATATAGGTTTGGGAGGTGATATTTCTACATATGTATTTGTATGTGCTATAAATATATCCATGTATGTAGCAGAGCAAATGGAGGAAAAAGTTATGAAAATGCCTTAGTCATAACCAACTATCTTCCATGTATATAGTAGAGCAAATAGGGGAAAAAATTATGAAAACACCTTAGTCATAACCAACCATCTTGAGGGAATGACTCACTGGGCCTGGGAACTTGGACACATAGTCACGGGGGACATTAAGATCAACTGGTATAACATAGTTAATGAAGACAATGTCCTACATCCTACTTTGGTGAGTAGTGCTTAGGCCTTAAAAGCTTGCTAGCAGCCATCTAAAGTGCAACTATTGGTCTCTTCTCATTTGGATCAAAGAAGGATGAAGAAAATCAAAGATATAAGGAAACAATTAGTCCAAAGGACTAATGAACCATGTGAACCCTAGCCTTCATAACACTGAGACCAGAAGAACTAGATGGTGCCCAGCAACTACTGCTGGCCACTCTGAAAGGGATCACAATAGGAGATCCTGAATAGAGTGGGAGAAAAAAGTGGAACAAAACTGAAAATCATAAAAAGGACCAAGCTTACAGGTTTGACAGAGACTGGTGGAATCCCTAAGACTATGGCCCTTAGTCACCCTTCAAATCTAGAACTGAACTTTTAACCCAGTGGTTCAAATTTAAACCAATCACTCACTAGTCAGGCCTATAAGGTGAACAATTATACCCGTAAGGTATGCAGTCCTTAGAACAACCAACCGTTCAAAATCAAAAAGGCAGCATGTGCCCAGGGATAAAGTCCAGAAGGTAGGAAGGAACAGGAAAGAAGGACAAAGGGAAACAGTAAATACAGGGAGGAAGCAGAAAAAGGGCTGTCACATGGCAGGGATTACAATCAACATCAGAGAACAAAATATGGAAGAACTATTGAATGGAAAACCAATATGCTCTGTAAACTTTCACTTAAACCACATTAAAAAGGTTTTTGTTTGTTTGTTTGTTCGTTTGTTCGTTCGTTTGTTTTAAAAAAGAGAAGTCTTCCTGGAAGACTGGCTTTACAAGGTACAGATTCACCTTTTGCCTTTCACATAGGAACTATATAACAGTCTCCTGTTTCAATGAACTTGAGAGGTGAAAAATGTTCAAGATATTTTATCCATAATTCAAATCAGAGGGAAAATCTGACTTGATTAATAGAAAACTGCATTCAGACTTTTCCCATGCTTTCTACTGTAAGGTGTAACTGCTTTCATAATCATAGCATTACTTGATACATCAAATAATGGATAAATATCCACTGTATAATTTAAGAGGGAAGGATTAATGATAATAGTATCATTAGATATTATATACACTTGAAAGCACTGCCTCAAACCCTCTTAGATTTGAAATTAACAGCATCTTGGTGGGTCAGGAAGGAGCTCTGGTAGCACAGTAGATAAAGCATTTGGTTGCTAAACAGAAGGTCAGTGGTTCAAACCTACCAGCCACTCCACAGAATGAACATGGGGCAATCTACTTCCATAAAGATTTACAGCCTTAGAAACCCAAAGGGGATTGCTATGAGTCGGAGTCGTCTCGATGGAAATGAATCTGTGGTTTTTTTTTTTTTTTTTTTTTTTGGTTTGGTAAATCAGGTAAACTCAGATATTATTAATTATACTTTATTGTTGTTGTTGTTGTTATGTGCCGTCGAGTCAAACCCGACTCATAGCGACCCCTCCTTGGGTTTCCGAGGCAGTATCACTACGGAAGTAGGATTGCCCAACCGTCCTTCCAGGGAGTGGCTGGTGGGTTTGAACCGCCAGCCGTCTGGTTAGCAGGCAAGTGTCTTAGCCACTATGCTACCAGAGCTCCCAATTATACTTTATAGAAAAAGTAAACTGTAGCCTACAGAAGGCAGGCAACAAACCCAAGTTCATATAGCAAGTCAAGAGCAGTACCGAAGTCCTATACTTTTCCACAACTCCATATGTATGTTACCATCAAAACAGTAACTCACAGCAGAAATGGCAGCAACAATAGTAAAAAGCAAGAGCAGCTATCATTTGTAAGGTACTATGCTGAGTGTGACATATATATTGCTGCATTTAATCATCACTTACAATGACATTAGGAGCAGATATCATCTCTTGTTATGGTTCAAGGACCAAGACAGAGAATGAAGGAATGTGACCCAGACCACAAAGGAGCAGAACTATGATTCAACCTCAAGACCATCTATTTGTTTGAGAATCTTCAACCTGTTCTCTGGCAGATGGCTGCTCGCTCTCAGATTTCAAGTCATCAAGTCTTTGCTGACCTTCTCAATGAGACCTACTATGAACACTTAATTTAAAATGTACCTTCATCCCCACCCTGCCAAGGTTGATCCTGCTTATCCTGCTCTACCATATGATTTCCTTTTTTTGTTTTTAATGTTAATTGCTAATATAACTTGCGCAAAGGCAGGATTTTGTTTTTTTTCCCCCAAGGAGGGGTCGCTATGAGTTGGATCCGACTCAATGGCAGTGTGTTTGGTTTTGATTAACATATTCCAAATGCCTAGACAGTGCTGTCTAATAGAACCTTTTGTGACGATGAAAATGGTTTGTGTATGTACTATCTAATACAGTAGCTGCAAGTCACAAGAACAACACTTGAAATGTGGTTAGTGCAACCTGAAGGACTGAATTATTTATTTATTTAATTTTAAATTTAAATAGCCACATGTGGCTGGCTAGTGGTTACCATACTGGATGGTGCAAGCCTGGAACAATGCCTAGCATAAATATATCCCCAATAAAACAATGCCTAGCATAAATATATCCCCAATAAATATTTGTTAAGTGACTAAACTTAAAAATATGCAAATAAGACCTATTTTCCACATGGCCTACAGACTATTTTCACTAAATGTAAATTAAAATTTATACTTTTTTCCACCAGAATAAATGACTGAAAAAATGTCCAGATTAAAATTTAATTAAGAAAACAGTCTGAAAATTCAGATGACATGGCCAAAATAGCAAGCACAACACTCTGAAACTATTGGTTCTTTTTTACCATTGTGACACCAAAACTTCCAAAACATTTTCTGAAAACCAAGAGAAAGCAAATCAGCAGGACATAATGAATTCCCATACAGAACAAAAATTATATATAGAATTACAACTGTTATTATAATCACTCAATACCTTTTTGACCTTGTTTTTCTTCTCATAGGTCTCTGACAGAGGTTTTTTCTTCTGTTGAGTTGTGTCTTTGGAGAATAAATACTCAAATTCACTAGTATCCCGAATATCAGGTTCTTCTAAGGAATCCCATAAGGTTGGTGTAGCATTTTGGCTTAAAAAAGAAAATGAAAAGTTAAACATAAGAGCTGAAATATAATAAAATTTTTCTCAATTCATTTTTTAAAAATTAATTGTTAAAAACACAAAGAAGCTTCTTTTCACATTGTAATTTTTTTTTTATAAATTTCTTTTTAAAAGTCAAAATATACTACACAAAATTAAAGCAAACACATATTTCTAAGAAAGGGTCAGTCAAGTCAAAAGTCACTGCCATCGAGTTGACTGCGACTCATAGCAACCTCTCCTTGGGTTTCTGAGGCGGTATCACTATGGAAGTAGATTGCCCAGTCTTCTTTCTGAGGAGTGGCTGGTGGATTTTGAACCACCAGCCTTCTGGTTAGCAGTCAAGTGCCTTAGGTTCTATGCCACCAGAGCTACTTAAGAAAGGGTAGACAGTAGATATAATCAAAGAAAGAGATCCAGAGAAATCCTGTGGGACTAGATAGCCTGTGATTCAGATCACAGAGTCCATGCACATTGTGCCTCTCTCGGTCTTGTGGCATTTCCACAATGGGGAAGGAGACATATTATAAAACCTCAAAACATAACCAATTTTGAGACCCTGATGAATATTCTTAAGACTAAAAATGGAGTACTAAAGTAAAGATTTTGACCATCTTTGGACTTTTTTCTAATAGTTTTAAATATGTTTTTCAGGATTAGCTCGGGTAAACCCAGCACAAGGCCTGTAACATGTGAACAGCCGTGCTCATTTAAAAATACTTGATTTATAACCACCCTCCCACCACATACACACACACAAAAATAACAATAACAAGAAAAGCAAATAAAAAACCTCTTCATAGTACTATCCCCCAAAGGGATTTCAACTAAAGCAACTATGTGGAGAAAGACTGATTTGTTTTTGTCTTCCAGAGACAGGGAAACCCTAGTTTTCAAGTGGAGAGATGTGGAAAATCAGACAGAAGCACTGCCTCTGAGCCAATGCAGATGAGTTCCTCCCCTCACTCCCTTCAGTCGGGAAACATCTTCCAAATGCCAATTTTCCTTATATCTTTTTAAAAAACATGTTGAATGCCCATGTTGGTGTGTTGCCGTCCAATTGTTTTCAACTCCCAGTAACTTCACGTACAGCAGAGCAAAACACTGCCTGTCCTGCCCCATCCTCACAATAGCTGCTATGCTTAAGCTAATTGTTGAAGCCACTGTATCAATCTATCCCATTGAGGGTCTGCCTCTTTTTTGGCTGACCATCTACTTTACCAAGCATGATGTGCTTCTCCAGGTACTGGTCCTTTCTGATAACACATCCAAAGTATGAGAGGCGAAGTCTCACCATCCTCACTTCTAAGGAGCATTCTGGCTATACTTCCTCCAAAGACAAATTTGTTTGTTCTTCAACCAGTCCATGGTACATTCAATATTCTTGGCAATACCACAACTCAAATGCATCAGTTCTTCTGTAGTCTTCTTTATTGTTCATAGACAGAAAAAAAAATCTCATCTACACATTTATTATTTAAAACTATGCAAGCAATGTTATAATATTTAATATCTAAATGCCTTTACCTTCATTTCAACATGTATTTTTACAGTCAATGAACACTAAAAAAACCAGCTACTATTATATGAAGCAAGGCACTGCTGTGGAGTCAGATCCAACTCATAGCAACCCCTCCTTGGGTTTCCAAGGTGGTATCACTACGGAAGTAGAGTACTCAACCTTCCTTCCAAGGAGTAGCTGGTGTGTTTGCACTGCCAGCCTTCTAGTTAGCAATCAAATGCCTCAGTCACTATGCCACCAGAGATCCCACTATTACCTGAGGTGGTCTACAAATTTACTACATTCTCCCATAAAGATTAACAACAACAACAAAAAAAAACTCACTGCTGTCAAATTGGATCGCCCAACCTTCTTTCTGAGGAGGGGGATTTGAACCGCCAGCCTTCTGCTTAGCAGTCAAATGCCTTAGGCATTACGCCAACAGAGCTCCCCCATAAAGATTATGGCCTAGGAAACCCTATGGGAAAGTTTACTTGGGGTCGTTGTGAACTGGAATCAACTGGACAGCATCCAACAATATATAAAATATATGTAAGTTATAAAGCATAAAATATAAGCAATACCAGTGAAATTATCAGCCAACCCAAGGGCTAGAACACTTGTAATGAAGCTCATCTATCTATGTGCTCCTTCCTCAACCATCCCCCTTTTCCACTCACTTAACCTCATTTTAAAGAGCTGAACCCAGAAAGGGAAATCTTTACTAGGAAAGAGAGGTAATTTTGGAACATGCAGCATTATTAAGGACTGCTAGTCTGAGCTCAGGAGCTCTGGTGGCATAGTGCCTAAGGCATTTGACTGCTAACCAGAAGACTGGCAGTTCAAACCTACTAGCCACTCCTCAGACAGAAGGTTGGGCAATCTACTTCCATAGAGATACCACCTCAGAAACCTAAGGAGGGGTCGCTGTGAGTTGGAATAGACTCGACGGCAGTGAGTATGGTTTGGTTTTTGGTTAGTCTAAGCTCATGAATATGTTCTCTGAACCTTGCCCTTGAGCGGAGAATCGCTAAAGCAAACGGAAGAAATGGAAAGGTAAAAGAGCTGAACAGAAGATTTCAGAGAGCA